TATATATATATATATATATATATATATATATATATATATATTAAAAACACAAAAATAAACATAAAACAAATGAAATATAAAATAAAACATTCAGCAAGATATTAGTGACATAGATAACTAGTGTAGGTTTAGTCAGTTTCTGAGGGCGTGTGATTCATGTGAAATTTGTTGTTTCATTTCTTTTCCAGATAAATTGTGGTTTGGGACTAGAAAGTATTTCAGGAAGTATTTTTCTCTTTTATCTTGGAATTGATCACAGGAATAGAGAAAGTGTTTTTCCCTCTTTGGCACTCTCTCAGCGCACACAAACCCACTCTCTGTGTGTCGTGCTGTTGTGGTGTGTGAGCAGTAATAAGCTCTGTATCTGTCTGATGAGCTGCTGCCAGTCTCAGTTTTTATTCATGTAAATTCATGGACGCTCCGTGCTACACTGGGCACATGCAAACTGGCAGAGGGGTTTTTATTTTGGGAGGAATGCAAATATAGGAGGGGAGGTTTTATTTTTGTGGTGATGCGCTCTGCAGATCAAGCCGTGTGGAAGAATGTTGCCTGATCTCACTAGCCGGTTGAGTTTGTTTGTGTGTATTGGTAGTTAGCATCATTATTTAGCAGATGTGGCAGCGCTTCGTAACGTTACATTGACAATAGTCTGTAACTAGACTATCAGCAGAAAGTCACATGGAAGTTTATTCAGGCGTCCACTTACACAGGAACGGTTCGTTTGACTGATATTGACAAACCAGTTTGTTTTTTTACATGACATTTAAGAGGCCAGTACAGCTGAAATTTGGATGTACACAGCGTTTCCTTGGTTACAGCTGTAAACAAAGCAGCTGCACTTATTAACACTAAATGCATTATACAGAGGCAAGATGAAAAGAAAACTAAGTAAACTTTTCTGAAGTCAGTCAGTTCCCCACAGAGATACATTCATATAAATCCCCAATTCAATATTCAGGATTTTCCTCCAGTATTTCGCACATTGTGAACAGTGAGCTGCTCTGCCAGCTGTATTTTCTCCTCTTTGCGTCCATCTTCAGCATCTCTGCCTCTGTTAACGTCCTGTTTACACACTTTGTAATATTTCCACACAAATGACATTTTGGAAAATGATTGCAGTGCAGTTTGTGTGCAAGTCTGGAACAGAGATCGGCTGAAATAAAACAAAAAAAAAAATGGCTGTTCGACCGGTGCATCTGTACTCTACTGATTAAATTAAATATATATTAATCATTGTTAAAGCTACAAAGTTACTTGCATGTAGTTGTCTTGCTGGAATTCTTTAAAATCGCTTGAATTTTTAAATTAGCAAGTGACAAATTCGTCAACTGTCCCGAACGTCTTACACACTGGCCCTGGGCCATCTGGCAGTCCTTATTGTCGAGCCCTGGATGTAGCTCTGAGAATAAAACAGAATTTACATTTTAGGTATGCATGTAAGATTTAGGTATGTGTGTATCTATATACGTAGACAAAGTTTGAGGTCAACAAGTTTTTCTTCTTTCTTTCTTTTTAAAATAAATTATTCTGCAAAGATGCATTAAATTGATCATAAGTGACAGTAAAGACTTAAAATGTCTATTGCATATAAATTCTGTTCTTTTGTTTGAATTTCCTATTCATTAAAGAATACATAAAACCATTTCCAAAAAATTATTAAGCAGTACAACTATTTTCAACATTGAAAATAATAAGAAATGTTTCTTGAGCAGCAAGTCATAGAGTAATGATGCTGACAATTCAGCTTTGCATCAGGGATAATTTGCATTTTAAAATGTATTCAATAGAAATTATTTTAAATTGTAATAATATTTCATAATTGTAATAATATTGTTTTGCATTTTTTCAAATAATAAAATACTTTTTTTGTATTTAAGAGACTTGTTTTAAAAAACATAAAAAAACTACTGACTTCAAACTTTAATGTTTATATATGTGATATTTTTTTTGCCTGTTTTATCATCAGCCAGGTAAATATTGTAAGTCAGTAATATGAGTATGATCAAATTTAAACAAGAGTAATAGCAAACATTAGAAAACACCACAACAAATAAAATAAAATGAAATAATTTAAAATAAAAATAGTTTAAAATTAAATTAAATTTGTAAAATAAATAAAAGGGTCTATCATCCATCCATCCATAATAAATTAAAATAGGTAAAATAAATAGGTTTTAGTTAGTAAGTAACTGCAATTTATCTAGCTTGTCTGAATTTTCCAGAAATTTTTTTTTTCTGACAAAGATGGAAGAGCTCACATCCCCCTCTCTCTCTTCCTCTGTCTCTCATCTTCTCCTCTCCTCCATTCTGTCTTTATTGTGATGAGAGATGCAGGTAGGCACTTTTGCCTTCGGCTCTCATCTCAGACACACTGAATGGCAGTGACTCCGCTGGCTTCTGACTCATTTGTTTGGTCATTAATGTTGTCCCACAGGACATAAACAGCAAATGGATTTTCAGTGTGTGTTGATAGAAGTAGCTGGTGAATACTTTTATGAATGCTTTTGTGTGTAGGTTTGTGTCTGAAATGCATTGACTGCTTTAGGCCAGAAACATACTCTATGCAAGTACATTGATGCAGATGTTGGTTCAATGCTATCTATCTATCTATCTGTCTGTCTGTCTGTCTGTCCGTCTGTCCGTCTGTCCGTCCGTCCGTCCGTCCGTCCGTCATCCATCAAAAACATCTTTGCAGCAACCTAGTAACCACCCAGAATACCCTTGTTACCACATAACAAACACTTAGAACATCATAGTATTGTTGTGGCATGGTTTTGCATGGACAAACAACTCTGTTTTATTTCAGTAAATATAAAAATTGTGTATCCTATGTGTATTTGTTTGTGTTTCAATGTAAGTGCAAGGTCAGAGGATTCTGATTGAACACTATAATGTTACACACACCTCGAGAGCTCTAGACCTGAGGAAATGATGCAGGTGACAGGAGGAGCACTCCATTGATATCCAAGACACTTCCTACCGTAATGGTTTTTTGGCTTGTCATTTTGACATGTGACTGTTGTTCTGCTAATGTAATTGCGTTCCGCTGAAAGTTTCCACTTCCAAAATATATTTTTCAGTTTGTGGAAGTCGTTTTCCTTTTTTTCTGTCAAGAAAAATGTAACTAACCACCGTGACCATTGTGTTTTTTTTCTGCAGCAGTCTAACACGGATGGTGGATATTTCTGGAGACCTCGGGCCTCTGGGCATCAAAGTCATATCATACTGCTCCTCACTGAGTGGAAGGTAAAGCGCGCGCGCACACACACACACACACAGATTCATGGTGTCTTCACACACTTGCCTGATAATGGACCATGAGATGCACTGTTGTACAAATTCTCCCTTTTGATTCTCGAGTATTGAGTATTGAGTATTTTATTTTATTTTATTTTATTTTATTTTATTTTATCATTATATAAAACAATGCCAGCTGACCATTTCTCAATTACTATAATTAAGTTTACCTTTTTTATGTTTTCTCACTTTGAGTGTTTTATTTATTATGATAAAAAAAATCTAATTTTTTTTAGCATTTTCTTCAGCATTGGCCATTATATAAAACAATATTAATTGACCATTAGACTAACTTAAGTAAATGTGAATAAAATAAATATATTTTACTCTATAAAGGAGTAGCATCACCTTATTTCACATTTATAAACGCTATCTGTGGCATGCGTGGATTACTTAGTGGTTTCACTTTTGTAATTTCAGTGTTATAAGTCAACAGTGTCCCATTCATATTTGCCCATAGACACGCACTCAAACACTTACAGGAAGTAGCTAGAAGAATGGCTCTTTCAGACTTTATTTTATTTTATTTTATTTTATTTTATTTTATCATTATATAAAACAATGCCAGCTGACCATTTCTCAATTACTATAATTAAGTTTACCTTTTTTATGTTTTCTCACTTTGAGTGTTTTATTTATTATGATAAAAAAAAATCTAATTTTTTTTTAGCATTTTCTTCAGTATTGGCCATTATATAAAACAATATTAATTGACCATTAGACTAACTTAAGTAAATGTGAATAAAATAAATATATTTTACTCTATAAAGGAGTAGCATCACCTTATTTCACATTTATAAACGCTATCTGTGGCATGCGTGGATTACTTAGTGGTTTCACTTTTGTAATTTCAGTGTTATAAGTCAACAGTGTCCCATTCATATTTGCCCATAGACACGCACTCAAACACTTACAGGAAGTAGCTAGAAGAATGGCTCTTTCAGACTGCATGAATAGGTCAAAAGTTAAGTTCTCAGGGCAAGGACACACACATGTTGCATGACAGGAAGTCCTCCCTGGGTAGACGATGACAAGCTCCGGATGGAAATAGACCCTCTCTCTGTAGCTGGGCAAACCTGTGTGGTGGCCTGGTGAACTACTCTTTAGGTGTAAGACCCAAAGGAAACCCTAAAGTCTTAAAGGAAGTAACAGCAAATAAAATCTTGATCATTGAAACGGTTGCCTGACCAGGTCAGTTCTCAAAACAGAAAGATGCTGATGCCTCTAATATCGAGAGACAGCTCAGAGAAAGTTTCTAAAATATATCTGATATTTTCATTAAAATCATTAAAAAAAGTAAATAACGCTTGCCTTTTTCCTGGTGTGTCATATACCATATTCCATATCTTTTTTTATACTTAATATACTTTTATCATTGACTTTTTTCTGTTTTTCCATTTTTAGATATTTAATTTAATTTAATTTTATTTTATTACAATTATGCTTTATAACTTTTTTAAAAATTATATTACTTTATATAATTTATGTAACCTCTCATTGCATTTGGAGAACAAGCAAACCACTTGGCCACAGTTCCAGCACCATTTTATTTATTGTACTCACAAAACTAGAGACATTTTATATAAGTTATTTTCAGTTGGAATTCTGCTTCTTATGTACAGTTAATATCTTCAGTTATTTTCTGAATGCCCTTCCCTGTCTGAAATCTGTTCGTTGCTTGTGTCATCAGGACTCTGGGTCTAAATATCCCAGCCATCGAGAAGAACAGCCGCTCTGAACAAGAGGGGATCTTTGAAGAGGACGAGTGCATCGTGCAGATCAATGACACCGAGTTAATAGACAAGTCCTTTGCTCAGTGAGTGTCTGACTCTTCCATCCATCACACTTTCATTGTTGTCATGTGGATTACTAATCATCCACCCGCTCTCTTTCTCTCCACTTCATTCTCTTCTTTCATTATCCATCTTTTGTGTTGTTTTTGCTTTAATGCGATTGATCTCTGTCCTACTTGCTCGTAGCGTGCAAACACAATCGTACCGAACCTTTTTATCTATCCGTCCTCTCTCATTTTCCTCACTTTTCTGCAGAGTTTCAGTGCTATGACTTTAACACAACAAAAGAGAATGGTTTGCTCTTGCCACGAGTGTGGAATTGCCCTATTAAGTGGCTTCAGTGGTATCGGATAGCCTTCAAAAGGACGACAGATTAAACGAAGTGGCACTATTAGAGGAAGAGTTGAAGAAATGGGTACGAGAGTTAAAGATTTTGAAGCAGAAAAGAAAAAAGACTTCAGTCAAGCAAGTCAATTTTACTTCTGCAGTGTCCTGAACTGAACTCCGAAAAGTTTGATCATCACATTCAATGCAACATGATATCTCTGATATCTAGTCTTAGTAATGTTAGCCTTTAATTGTGTGCTGTATGTTTGTAAGTTTTTAGTTTCATATTGATGTTGATAACTGTTTTAAAATGTTATAAATGGATAGTTCAGAATCTAAATTGTGATTAGATTTGTCATGTTTGAAGTCGAAATTTCATAATTTCTGAAAAATTTAATTTCGCATCTATCCTGACTAAAGTCCATTAAATTCCACATTAAAGTGGACCTTAATGTTACCTGTTTTGTCAATGTTAAAAATCTTTTTAATATATCAATAAGAAAGTACGACAGACTTTTACTCAAGTCTTTATCACTTAATTTAAATTAAGCAAAACAAAACGACAAATGTTTACTTTCACAAGCCGTCTCCTATAGTCTTGTAGTAAGCTGCCTCTTGTTCAATTATGTAACAAAAAATGTCGGGAAATGACACCTCTGGCCATTCCGTTGTGTCGTTTGTCCAGTCACAGATACCGTACAGACAGTCCGACCCAATATGGCTGAGTTTTTATACGTATGTTGCTCTGTCGAGCGGCAGAAATTATTTTATGTAGACCATTCTGAGTCAACACCATGCTTTTCCAATGAGGGGGAAAGGACTGTTTTCCCCCACGCCGACTCCGCCCACACAGCTATGACGCGACACCGATCAAGTCTATGGTCGACATTAAAAGCGCTATTCTGTTTGTTAACTTGAGAGCCTGGCTTGTGAAATACAAGCTGAACAAATCTGTGTGTATATTGTTTGTAAAAACTCAAATTAAGCGTCAGAATTTATATTATTGATTTTCCAAACAGTTAAAGCTGCAGTCCATAAATTTGGTTAAAAATTATCCGAAATCAATATTTGAGCAAGTACATAACCAGCAAGTGTTCGAAACTATCCCCTTACTTTAGCCCGATTCACAACGGTCATCTTATAATAATGTTTTCTAATTTGAGTGGTACGGATAGGTTTTCGCTGGAAATTCGAGCATGCTGCTGCATCATTACGTCACATCTGTAAACATAAAGAAGTTGTCCCGGCTAC